ATCTAATGGTGGAAACTCTCAAAAAGTCAATGCAACCCCTGAAACAGTGACAAGCTCTCACATAACCGATTCTTTATGGAGAACAGAGATTTCTCCATCAGAGTATACTGTACACCAACATAAAAGCCAACTATCTGATGTGCAACTTCAAATGCACGTAGAGAGGAAATACAAGTATTTCCAGTCCGCTGCTCCCCTCTCTGCCTCGGCATTGCGTCTGTGAAAGCACCCCGAGCCTGTGAGCAGTGTGGCTTACCGGGCGAGTTGGAGTAGAAGTGGGAGCTCAATCCCATTCTAAATTGTACAACAAAGCAGTCTTCTTGGCACTCGCAAAGGTGTGTGTGTGTGTGTGTGTACGTGTACCCACCGCACTGTACATTCAACATGCTGCACAAGAGCTGCTGGTGGATTGGCAAAATTAAGTACAGGCAATTAAGATGCTGATCCTCTCTACACCCACATTATTCTAGCTTCTAAAAAAGGAAAATTACACGCTCTAAAGTGCTGTATGGCACAATAAATAACTCTCAGTGGGCTTTGCAGCACTGACACGATCTCAGTAGCAGTCACCATCCCAAAAGAAGGCGATGTGCCACAGTCATGAAGCCTTTCCGTCTCATTCCACTGGCAACATTTTAAAACAACTCTCTTTTGTTCCTCTCCCTCCTCCTGATCTCTCCCCTACTTGATGGCATAGTGCATCATTTTAGAAGAGCACCTATGATATAATAGCCGGAGAGAAACTCAAGCGGATACTTGGCCAGCTAATGAATAACTGAACAAGCTTGACGTGTAAGAAAAGGCAGAAAACGCACTGATTAGGCCACCAAACCCCCCAAAATGTCTCACCAAAGCAGCTGTTCAGAATAACAACTCCTCCAGAGGAGTCTGAACAAACGGTGTAAGGAGGTTAGACTTGTCTGGTTCTTGGGGACGAAAAAAAAAAAAGGACAATAGAATCGTATCATGATCAAATCTCTCTCTCCCCTGTTGCATGTTGACATCTGGACACCAAGGGTACGTTTGGGCACACGGGCAATAAATAAACAAAGGTGCGGTCGGCCTTGAAAAGCCGTACACCTGTGACCAGCTCAAACCAGCAGGCGCAGCGGTGTTCATTAAAAGAGGCCGCTGCTGACTGGGAGACATTTAAGAGACCATCAGGAGCGACAACTCGGCGGCTACCTTGGACCCGCAGAGGGAAAGGCATCAAGGTGAGCAATGCAATTTCAGCTTGAAAAATGGAGCACTTTCCCCAAGTCTGACATTCATGTATTTCACAGGCAGTTTTTCCATACAGGCACACAACACCTGTGAGCTCTTCAATATTCTACAGGAAAGAGATGGTTTAGAAATGTTTATAGGTTCTGTTGCCCGGCTGCTGCTTTGCAGATAATCCCATTTCAAGTGGTCCATGAATTAACAATTGCGCCAAATATGTCAAATCAAATAATATCATTTGAATTTCGGATTCAGCGCAATGCAGACGGACGGACGGACGGACGGACGGACGGACAGACAGCCGGCATCAACGTCCAGAGGTTGTTCCCTGCGATTTAAAAAAAAAAGTAATTTCTTCAAGGCAAACTATTCTCTCTGTTCTCTTGGATTCAGCAGCTACGTTCCATTGTCACGGAGTTGCCGAAGTGAACCGGTAATAACGGAGGATTAATTTACGAGGAGGCAAAATCCCCCAGTGAGACTTGTGGCCCAGAACAATAACGAGCACATAGTAAACAGAACATTTGCCGTAAGCCGAAAGAGAATGCAGACGCACCTAACCTAGACCCACTATGCACACTGAGGCATGCGCACAAGCACAAGCACGCCCTCTCATGCACACACAGACACACACAGGCACACACGTGTAGGCGGAGAAAGTGATGGCAAACTATCTTCCCCAGGCCTGTGTAAAAACACATGTTTTCAGGTAATTAAAAGAGGATCCCAAGCCGTTATCGTGTCACATTGAAGTACAATGCTTAGAGCAAATGAGCTAATTGTGGTCATTTATAAAAAGCCGGGTTCATGAGGTCATGTTGCTCCTGTAAACTGTAAGAAGATGAGACTCATTCGTGCCTGCAGTCGTGCCGCGGTTAAAACTTTTAATTAGAAATGCTGAGCTCAGAGATCTGTGTACTGTGAGACACATACTATGCAATTTGTGTTTTGAGTGATGGCTGGTAGTAATTGTTTAGCGCATCTACACGAGTTGAACTGTTGACTGGGAACAAAAGTAATTTAAGCGTTTGTCAATATGCAATCCACGTTTTGAGAGAACCGATTTTTAGCAGCAGAATACATTTTGTAATCAATGTTTTGGGTAATTAAATCCAAGTCAGCATTGGTTTCCCTTTCTTGTTATCCAAAAAGCTATTGGTTTTGACCTGGAAGTAAAGTAGCAAACTGATCAACCTTTTTAAGTAACATTGCGTACTTCATAGTGCGCTTCAATGCCTCCTTCATTTATGAACTGTGAAAAAGGATGTTTGCACCTCTGACGGTCTCAGGTTCATCATGTTCAGAATCTGTCAAAACAGATGGATGAAGAACACATTTCAAACTGAGCAGGCAACACATAGGAAACTTTCTCTAAAAACTTTATTCTCATACAATTTTTCCAATGGTTACCACTTATATCCTGTGCTCACTATAATGTGGGATCATCGACTAATTAAACTTGCATTAATGACAACTTTATGGGGAGAAAAGGCTGTAGAAACAGTAAAGATTGTCATCTTATTAGGCTTCTATGGCAACATCAATTTGAGGATGCATCCAATTTGCACTCCTTCTAGACCAACTCCTCAAGGAAGCATCAAGCTCTCTGGCTGATAAAAGGACCAGCTAACTTTGTCCGTCAGCCTCTTATTGACAGCAGATAGTGTACAATGAGTGTATTCCATTAATGGAAACAGCTGCCTGCTGCAGCTGGAAACGATGCTTATGAGAGGCAGAACGGTAAAATTGTCCCTAAAAACCAATGAGCTGAAGGACCGTAAAAATCGCTCTGTTGTAGAATTGGTTGATATTTTCAGCTTGATTGTCACTTCAAATTACTTTTAATTGCACGTACTTATCTGATGACATTTTTTTATATACAGAAATATTGATTTGTGATGTTTTGCGAATATTCAAGTCAGTCGCAGTGTCTGTCATACATGATGCTAGTTAAGGAACAGGTGATTAAAGCACGTTTCTTTGCAGCATCGAGCTAGGATATTTATAATCTTTATAACCATGGTAACATAGGTATGACCTTTATTAGTTCTAATATATTCCATATGTTTAAGCACTTTAAACATAAAGGATGGAAGCACTTTACTATTATTCACGTTTGAATTTGAGTTATCCCCCAAATGTTCATCTTTGTGGTCAAATAATGAAGTACCCCCCCATTCAACCATTTCCTAAAAGAAACCTTTTTTTTCTGCTGCCCAGAGTCGATACATTTTTTCAGATGCTGCTGAGCTTCGGCTGCTTAGTGAAGTGTCCTGCTGCACTGCACCCAATACTAGTTCAGCAATCAAGCTGCCACGTTGATGCAGGAGCGCCCCTCCACCCATCAGTCCATCAATGAACCAATTCATCTCTCTACCCTCGGAGCAGTCTCCAGATAGCTTTTCTCAGGATACATTGCTGAGGATTACTGTTCCGCTACGTGTTAGGGAGCTCGCTTCCCCATTTGACTTAAAGGTGATTCTCCTTTTTTGAAGTGGCTCCATCTCACTCCGTGATGGGGAGGCCAGAGAATGATCCTCCCCCACAAGACCCCATTAAAGCAAAAGCCGGGGTCTGCAGTTTTGATATTCATCACCTGGGCAACCTCTTCCATCGACACGTTTTGCGCCACGTGAGAATGATCACAGCTTATTAAAGGTGAAATAATGACTGCTCTACCTCCGGCATGAAATATTTAACGAGGACAAAGGGGACGGCTCAAAGGTGATTCATATCCATGTTGAAAGGAGCGAACACGGACAATGCCGTCTACATAGGAAGTACAGATGAGCCTTGGTGAACCTGAGTGTAGAAGAGACTGGCAATACTGAGAATGTGTATCTTAATGGAAGCACAAAGAAGATAATAGGGACAGTTTTTTTTTTTATTACTGCTTGATATACTGTGGTATTTACAGAGACTTGCACCTCCATGGAATTAACAGTACACACAAAGCAGAGTTGAGCATTCAGGTTTGAAACCTATTACTCTGCCATTTACATTACATTAGATGTAATTTACAATAAGTGCATTCAACCTTAGGGATACAAACAAAGTACAATTTCCTCCAAATAAGCCAATTTACAATTTCCGATAGATAAGTGGCGTTACAAGTACAATTTAAGTGTTACAATTTGTTAGTCTTTTAGTCGAGGTAGAGTCTGAAGAGGTGTGTCTTTAGTCATTTACTCTTATTTGCGACGTATACAGATTCTGATTTAAAGTTGTGAAATTATAGATGCCTTTTTCCCCCCACAGCTTGGTTATATTAGCTTGTTTTTGGCCCCTTTGGGGAAAATTGGGCGGGAAAGGAGTCGAGTGAAAAAATTCTCCATCAAGCGTGATTGAATTGGATTTCACAAGATGAATGTCCAGGACAAGTGTTTATCCCGATTACATCGCCTGGAGGTTTCAGTTCCTGTGGTCGACAGCAATTAGGGTCAGCATTGAGTTATCAGCATCCGTCATTGTGAGAAGAAGCAGAAAGTAGATGAATGGTGCAGTAAAAACGTGGTTTGATACAAGAATTCATGAAATTAAAGATTTGACGGCCAAAACACTGCTGTTTTTTCCCGTAGCCCACACATCTTTTAATCTGACACAATACGATAGAGGCTTCAGAGACGGCTCTTTGTGGGGCTGTCCGCTTCCTTACTTGCGTAATTCCTTCTTTCCTTGAACGAACCTGTAGGATTTGCTGATGCGGCTTCCATGCCAGGGCCACATTTATCACAGACAGCGGATGACTGGCAAACGATGAGGTGGGATTTTAGTCTTACCTTCCCAGGTCTGGAGCTCCACAGATATCTCAGGCTGAAAACAGAGAGAGCCAAAACCAGAAAGACCAGAGCCAGAACCAGAGCCACTCGCTGGTAAGTGCGGTGTTTGGCTTTCTTCTCTTTTTCCATCTCAACCTGCAAAAGATATTGATCAGATATTATGAAATGGTGGATATATAAATTAAATATGTATGCTGTCTGAATGGCCCCAAAAAACTGCAATATACTGCAACGACAGTCAAGCATTTTGGGACATTTACACTACTATACAATTATAACACATGCAAAGGCGTTGTAAAGGTAGGCCACTAAATCACATGGCACTGCGGAGAGAGAGCGAGCGAGAGATTTCATCAAGGAAAAGTATATTTTTCAACACAATTGTTCATACCGAAGATTTAACTGAGAGATTAACAACAATGCAAACTATGTGTCATGCATTAAGGTGAAAAAATGAATGTGGCTTTACAATGCATTCAGAAAAAGAAATATTTTCCCCCACTTAACAATATTTATCAAAGGTATATGAGAGTGACATCAATCCTATAATCAAACTCACAATAAGAACGTTGATTAAAGTGTTTTAATTTATCATTTTTGAGTTTGAATTTCCTCTTCATGCTCTCATTATTATCAGTGCTGCATGTGATACAGATAGATAGAAGATATTCCCTTCGATTTATTCTGTCTTTCAAATTGCTGACCACAAATGAGGCTTATGACAGAAATATAATCGTTCTCATGCAAAGTGCAGGGAAGGACAAGACAGGTGCCACAAAAAGCTTACGTTTATTAAACTTTTCCTCAAATGAGTACCCTGCCTGCTGTAGTAAACTCCCAAGGCTCAAGGCCACAAATTAATAAAGACAGGCTTTTGTTTCCCCGGAGCTGCAGTAGGCAGAAATGAAAGCTCCTCGTTCACACTGGTGCCTTTCTGCAAGTCTCAGAGGACAACAGAAAAGATGAGTGGTGTAAAATAAAAAAATAAAAACTGAACCAATTAGCAAAATTGGCGTTGCTTATCTCTGTGTCGTTTTAAAAGGTTGTTAAAGCAACTTTGGTTTCATATTGTGGCCCAGACCGTTTCAGTAGATTTGAGCATAACTTTTAACGGGTCAAAATAATGTGTGAAATATTTGAAAATAATAGGAGTTTGTCTTTCTTTCTTTCTTCTTTACCGTTAAAATAATTATCCAAAATAGTTGTGAAAATTTTTTCAGATTGCCTTTAATTACCCTTTATCATGTTAAACTCATGTATGTATGTATGTATGTATGTATGTATGTATGTATGTATGTATGTATGTGTTTGGTGAAGGACAGAGGATCTCATGATAGCTTCCTGAAAATGGAAACTAAACCTTTGCAATTCAGTATTTTATTTTATTCAATATTTTACATTTAAGAGACAAACTAAAGGTGAAATCCCAATCAGATCCAACTAGCTGAGCGCCGGAAATTCCTTTTATTGTACCTTTTTTTTTTTTTTTTTTTTTTTTTTTTTTTAGTGACTGAAAAAAAAAAAAAGTGGCTGAAATTCTCTTCTCTCCTGTGGCAGGTTGCATAAGCAGTGGGAACCTAACCAGAGGACAAACCTCTGTGTGCCTGGCTTGAATCCTGAATACTCGGCACAAGAATGTGAAATTGAGACAGACAGACGGGCACACAGACAGAAATAAAGGCACGGATGGAGACAGAGCAGTCTGAGAGCACAGCAGTTGCCGACTAGTGTTTTAAGAGTTCACAATCAGTCAATTCCTCTCTGGCTTTGTGAGGAAGAGGGCCGAGAGCCCCCTGCTGTTATCACACCGGGGGGAAGCCCTCACTCGAGAGAAAAAAGAAATACATGTAGCCTACATAACCAACAAGCCGAGGCTGTGGTTCATCACACTGGGGTATGCTGTTATAAGCATTGAAAATGCCTGTGAAAACTATTCTGAGTATGATCATCAGTCTCCAGAGAGTTATAAGTATTAGTTGGAATATTTGCCTCTTTGCTTTTTCTTTTCATATATGAGAAGGAAGGATATTCTAGCTATAAAGCACCTGCGAAGGTTCAGGTGAGACCGGATAAGAGAAGATCAAGAAGCAGCTTCTTTTTTTATTTGACTTCAAGCTCCCATCACATCACTCACATCGCAGGATCCTCCTCTCGACTTTTAAACCACCACTGCTGCCACTTACAATTAATTTACTGAGCCTTAACAGTTAAACAGGAGAAACTGTAATGACCTAAAATTCTGCCCAAAATTCATAGACACTAAATGTTAGAATTAATTTCAAATCGTATTTTTTGCAAAAGTTCAATAAATTAAACGGAAGGGGAAAAAAAAACCTACTCACATCTTTACACAGAATCTGTTGACTGCTGGATGTCCGGCTTGCCTCCATGATGCAGAAGTCTGCAGGAGGCAGTCTGTCAGATCCTCTTTGCTGGTGAAGATACTAACGTTCTGAAGGCAAAGAGTCCCCACTTCATTCCAGTGCTGTGAAGTGTGTTGAAGGGGAGGGAAGTTTTCAGGTGGAGTGGAATTACAGAAACATTTGCCATAGCCATTAAAAGGGAGGCAGATGTCTCTCCCTCTTGCCTGCTCACATTTCAACGGTGGGAAGGATTCAGACTGAGAGACAAACCTGTTGGATAAATTACAGAGTACACTTGCATGAAATATTGAGATTCAAAATATTCCTGCTTGGAGGACATTTGCTAGTGTAAAAAAAGAGTGAAATCTCCACATGCTGCTTTTGTTTCTTAGTCAGTCGGCACTCAACAAACAGTAAACACAAGCTGAGATGACTGAATAGCAGCATAACTAGATTTGACCACATAGATGAAGAAAAATTGATTCCCTCCAGCGTTTTATAACGTGCCCAAGAGAATAATATTTGCACATATTATACCAATATTATGCACATGTTAATGGGTTTAAATAAAAATGTATTCATCTACCCCCCCACTCACAAAAGCTTAAAGATCAAACGTACTCACTTATAATTTGTGAAAATTGCAAACACTTTCCACAAATGTAAATCGGTATCCGAACTAGTGGCCACAACGTGTCTTTGAAAGCGTCACTGCAGGTGAAGTCGTAGTCTGGTGGTGCCGCTGCTCCCAGAAGACAAGATCCTGATGTGGGCGACGGACCTCTGCTGCTACAAGCTAGCTGCTACATTTATTTTAACAAATAACTACAACAACTCATGTCACTCAACAATGGAGGAGGCGCAACCTTCTGCTTCCTATGGATCAGCCTCCAATCGTGGGCTGTGCCATTGATCGTGTTTGAAAATGCCGCCGTGACTGAGGGAAGGTGTGATCCCACCTGCAGTTATTTTTGCCTTTGGTTAACCGCGATACGTTGTTTGGTTGGTTTAGGTTCATGTTCTTCAGCTTCTGGCGAACCACGACTTGTAATCAAACCGCTTTTTGGTGATGTTAACGCGTCGTTCTGAAGGGTTGGTTCACAGTGCAGTCAAATGCACTGTTTTGCCATCGGAATAGTGTGAAAATGTTAGACAGAGAAGACTGGGAGACTGCGATTGTGAAAATGACATTTGATTATGTTCAAGGGCAGGACGCAGACCCAGCATATGGGGCTGGCACACTACATCATGATGCCCCGCTGCTTTTTGTAAATTACTTTCTCTGCTGCTCAAACCAGTTAAACATTTTCTTTAAAAAAATTCTGGATTTTAGATCATCACTTAATCATGGTTGCGTCTATAAGGACCCAAACTCTTCCACAGTACTTCCTGTGACACTCAACAACGGCATTTAAGATACAGGAAGTAAACGTTTTCTTAGTGAGGACATCGAAGTGCTACGCAAAACAAAAAACAATCATAGTGACTTTATGTAATCAGATGGTTTAGTTAGTATTAGCTAACGTTATTAGCGTATGGAGTAGAGCGGGTGTGCCTAACCCTAACCACCGGGAACCACAAGGTAGGTGGTTTGATTCCCGGCTTCTCCATGTCCCCTGTCAAAGTGTCCCTGAGCAAGACACCTAACCCCTAATTGCTCTCTGGGCAGGAATGCAAAGGCCATGGGTTAAAAGTTGCTTTTGGATAAAAGCGTCAGCTACATGACCTGTAACGTAATATGTGTTTTTTTTTAAGGAGCGACATGGAACCGCCTCTGTATTTTTCCTACTTTCTTGTAAAGTGTTAACCAACGTTGTTCTTTTCGGACACTGCGTCGTGTAGCTCACAGTATCTTTGCAGAATGCCACCCGTTATTTATTTTCAGACACACGACACCTGTTTAATTTGTACTTTGGACGTCATGTGACCGGGAGCGATGGATAATCCAAGCTCACCTGTGTTCACCCTTTTTTATACAAACCATTTTTTCCCCTCCTACCAATGCAAAAGCTAATAGATATTTTGTTGTGAATCTAGATTATTAAAAAAACTATTTCCCGCCCTAAAAGTTCCACCTCACTCCCGATTTATAGAAGTCAATACGTTCTGAGGTGGAGCATTCCTGGTAAAATTGGTCAACCTGCAACCCTTCAGCGTGGCAGGCAACACATATTAAGTCTGTCAGATCTGATAGCTGTGGGACCCAGTCAGCTCTTTTTTTCCATTGATATAAATCTTCACAATTACCGTGACATTTTGCTTGGGTAAATCAAGTGGCGGGTCTTTCAGGGAAAAGTGTTGTATCAGCAGCATGGTTGAGCATCCTGGGACCCTCGTTCCCTCGAAAGCATTCAGCGGCCGGGGCTTCCACCGCCGCGGAGTAGAATAAACAGCCATTTAGTTTGGAGTGCATACCAGATACTTACAGATTAGAGCAGAGGTTGATGGTAGCAGCCTTAGCCAGCCAGGAGAAATCACAAAATAAACATTTGCTCTATCCTCTTCTTGCTTCCACCCTGGTAGCTTTGATGTGCATTTTTTTCTCCCTTGTATTTGTCACATCTGCAAACACAGACTGAGCGCTGTGACCAACAACGACGCCCATTACAAATCCAACAAACCAGGCGGGATCCTGTGAGTTTTATTTTTCCTTATTTCATTCAAATAAACAATAGTGGGTTTGCTCAAAGTGACACTGCTTTTTACAAACTTGCATAGTCCATTCCGCTCTAGTCTGCATTGGACATCTGGAAAAAAGCTGTTCCTTGTTTGCTTTCCTTAAGTCATAAGCCAGTCTCCGAAGCCTCGTCGGGCTTCTGTCACTCGGAAAGGGGGCTGTGATGGAAACCCACACGTTTCCCACGTGCTCATCCGCATTCATTAACGGTCTCTTGCCAAATGAAGGGAGACGGTCAGAAACTCAGTGGAACGAGTCTTTACAGCCGATACAGATCCCAAAAATATTTAAAAAACTGTGCAGGAATTCATTTTTACTCGTCATCACATTTTTTATTTATTTATTTTTGCTCACACACCTCTTCTGCGCCCGTGTGGATTAAACTAACTTTTGAGTACAGCAGCTGGACTTGTACGGGTCAAATGTGACTTATAATCACGCGTTATTTGATTATCCTCCTCCCGGCTCAGTCTGTCATTTCAGAGGAGGGGGAAGCAAGGTCTAGGATTTGGTCATGATGAAGAGGCGGTCGTGGATCCGGACGTGGTCTTTACGAAAGATCAGACAGCCCTCATCCGTCTTCTTTGGAGATCGGGCTTCAGTGATTATGGGAAGGAAGTCTGCACAGGAAGTTTACCCGGTGCTCCGTTTCCCAGGAGTCACCCGGTTCTTCGTCCGACCCCGGTGAAGGCCTGACACACCGTGCTGATGTACAACTGCAGAAAGTGTAGAAATACTGTGTGATGCCCGGTGAAGCAGCAGTGGTATCGGCCTTTTGATGCTTGTCAAAATATGCATCTTCAGTTCAGGTTCGTTTGCAGTATTTATTGTTAATTGGCCAATTTAACTTCATCACATCATTTTCGCCTGCTTTCTTTATTTTGAGATTGAAGTTTCCAATTTTAGAAATGAGTAATGCCTCCTTCTCTAAATCTCCTTCTCTCTTTGAAAAACGACAGATTATGCAGTCCCATTTTAGGGAAAAATGGGTTTTCAATTTGGAAGACTCGCATTAAAGCTCACACTGATCCACACCTCACTATGAAAGTATTCTTATAGTAAAATTGAACACATTTTACACTATTATTTATCAGTAAGTCCAGCTGTTCATCTCCAATAAGAAAACATTATATAAAATAAAGCAATTTTATTCATTGTGTCCATGGCTGACATGAAACATGTGAATACAAACAGGAGTTTGAGGGATGCATCGTTTCCAGAGAGGTCCTTTGAAATACTGAAAAACTAGATGAATAGGAATTTGGATTACAGCCCTACAAATCTTCACCGAGTTTATTCACTCATTTCCCAAATCACACCATGAGTGTAAAGCTACTTGCTGGGGGATTTTCTCAATTTCTTGCTTCATGGGACAGGTGTATTTACTTACATAATTGTATTCCTCATCCAATTTATAATGCGATTAAATATTAATACAATTCAAAGTTTGAAGAGAGGCATATCTGTGAAAATTATCTAGACAGCAATATTGTGAAACGTTTCTTCTTGCTTTGCAACTTTTTCAATCACCCATAGATGGAACGGAAGCAGTGAAAGAAAATATTAAAATGGTATTTCAACAAATAAAGCAAGGGAAGTTTTCCACTGTGCTGATCTGAAGTCATCTCGACTGAGCTTTATTTAGCCGGTAAAGGATCTCTCTGGGGGGAACGTTGAGGGCTGTAGTCAAAGTGGAACCTTTCTGAACGAGCTTTGAGCTTCAGGGTCCCAACAGCCGCACACATGTGGAGTCAAACAATGGAGGCAAAAACCAAGTCATAGCCAAATCGTAATTACCTCTGCACCCTGCAGAAGCAGACCAATTGACTGCTGTAGATGGATGACAACAGGTAAAGGGCAGTGATTAGCCGCAGGCCTCAGAAGCTTGGAACATTCTCTATGTAGGACAGAAGATATGCTTCACTTATTACGCTGCTATTATTCTGTGGACTTATTATGGGCACAATTCTGCTCAGTACTGGAAACTTTGCTTGTCCCGGTCGGCTGGTGGTGCGCGCGCACGCACACACACACGATCTTGTACGTTCAAGTTGTGTGTGTTATGTGTTAGTCGTAGCATCCTGACCAATCGCCCAATGATGTGTGATGTGAATATCTACCTGAATATCTACGATTAGTCCTGAATTTGTTTCCATAACACTTCATTTTCTAGAATTATAGTTTTAGAATTGGACAGCAGTGACGTAGAAGAGAAGATTAAGGATATTTTGTATGCACACAGCGACATGATAAACAACCAGTGACTAATGTTATCCTGAAGTCTGTTCCTCAGCAAGTGCAAAATAAACGACAACAAATCTAAAAAAGGGAAAAAGCAAAGGAATGCATTTTGAATTATCCTGTCAGGCAAAAGTAAAGAAAGTTTTTTTCACATCCATTTACTCAAACTGACCTTTCAAAACAAATACACTAATTTACTGCTAGTGTGAG